CGTCCAGCCCGGCCCGCGGTTCCCAGTCCCTGCACGGCTCGCGCGACCCGCCATTCCTCCGCGGGCTGTGCTGCCCGGCCAGCCGCGTGCGAGCTTTGGTTTGGGCCGGTCTCCGAGCTGTCCGCCCCCACCGGTCGGGCCATGCCGAGTCGCCGCGTCGTCAGACCGCCCCCTGCGCCCGAGCTGGGGGCCTTGGGTAAGCGGAGCTGAGGTTCCCGGGAGAAGTCTGGGGCGGGGCCGGAGATGTGGGAGCTCCGGGGGTCTCCAGGAGCAAGGCGGGGGTTTCTAAAGGCGCCCAAGGGATCTGGCGCGGGGACACCGTGCTGGGAGGAAGCCGGCGGACGGTACGGGCGAAGGGTCCGGACGAGGTACCGCCGAGGCGTCCCGCGGGAGAGTGGGGAGGGGGCGGGGCCTGCCCCAGAGGCCGCGGAGGGGGCGGGGCCTGGGTTCCAGGTAGGCGGGGCCTGGAGACCGGGGGTGGGGCGTGTACTGCTCCGAGGGGGGTGGGGCGGGGCCAGGCTCGGAGAGTGGGGGGCGGGGCGGGGCCTGCCCTGAGAAGAGGCGGGGCCTGGCCCTGAGGAACGAGGGGCGTGGCTAGCGGGCATGGAGATGGAAGGAGGGTTCGGAAAAAAGGAGAGCCAGGCCTGATGCTGAGAAGGATCCGGTCTGCCAGGACAGTTTGTGAAGGAGTCCCTCAGGCCCATGCCTTAAAGAGGGACAGAGCAGATCTGCAGTGAGGAAAGATGGGACGAAAGGGCGAAACAATGAAGTCTGAAATGTCTGGTCAGGGGAAGAACCTGACCCTAGGGGAGGGACCAAGGGAAGAAAGGAAGTGGGGCTTCGGAGATTGTCTGGTCTTCTGATGGCCTTTCTGTGAGACCTGCCTCCTTCTTTCAGGGTCCAGTGGTGACCCCTCCTCGCTCTCCCTGGGCATTTCCAGGACCACAGGTGAGCAGTCCCTGTCCACCTGTTTGTGGGAGATGGAGTTGGGGGAGCCTCTGTGGAGATGGGTTGGGCACATCTCTGGGGGATTCACCCACGTTCACCTTTCCTTTGATGGGCTGTGACCCTCTATGCCCTGTTGAGCTAGCTTGGTTATCCCTACTTTCTGGAGGTTAGGAACTTCAACTACTTACACTCTTCAGAGGATAATTAATTAAGAAATTCACCTGAGATTATAGCAGACTGACAACCACCACCTTGGGTGTTAAAGCAGGAGTTTATATTCCTCATCCAAGAATGTCTGCAGGTTGCTTTCCCATACCTCAGTTGGCCTGTCTTTACAATGGACTTGATATCAGTTCCTTCCTTTGCTGGTGGGGGATTTTCAATAAGTCGATATAGACAAACATGGGAGGCAGAAATAGGAAGATCACAGTTTGGAGCCCTACCTGAAAAACAAACTAAAAACAAGAGGACTAACTGGGGGTGTGGCTCAAGTAGTATAAACACTTGTCTAGTAAGTATAAAGGCTCTTTCAAACCCAAGTAGTACCAAAAAAAAATGGTGATGGTAATAATTATTACAGCGACTGTAACATTTGCATCAGATTCATTAATTAAACCATATGCGTTGGAATCACCAGAAGGCTCATTAAGACAGATTAGTAGGCACTCTATCTAGAGTTTCTGACCCTGTAGGTTTGTGACTGGCCCTGAGAATTTGCATTTTGAGGAAGTTCCCAAGATCTACATGCCTATGCTTAGCTACTCTGGAAGCTGGACCTGAGAATTGAGACTGAAAACCAATCTGGGCAGGCAAATCCATAGGACTGTTATCTCCAATTAGCCAGCAAAATGCTGGACTAGAGATGTGGCTAAGTGATAGAGCACCAGCTGTGAGTGAACAAAGTCCAGCAGAATTTGTAGGGCTTGAGGTCAAGTCCTAGTACTGGCATAAGATGAAAAAAAATAAAAAAAGTAATGTGGGTCAGGCATACTAGTCCATGCCTGTAATCCCAGCTACTCAGGAACAGAAGTAAGAATTACAGTCCCAAACCAGCTGGGATCCTATCTGAAACTAAAAATGAATAGATTATGGTGTGCCTCAAGTGGTAGGTCACTGGCCTAGCAAGCACAAGGCCTTGAGTTCACTCTCCAGTACTGTCTGCCACCCCACTTGCAATTAAAAAAAAAAAATTAAGATAGGTAATGGCTGAAGCCAAAGAACTAGCAAGTCAGCAAAGACAAGATTGTAACCAAAATGTCCATTCTGAGCTACAGCTACTGCTGCCCACGACTTAAGCTTCCTCTGTAATCTGGCAGCCTCTTGAGCACTCTCCCAGCACCCCCCCAAAAAAAATCTATGTCTTTGAGTCCCTTGTGTGTATAGTACAGATCTTCAAGGACAGTATTCCAGCCAGGTGTGGTAGTGAGCACACCTGTATGTAGTCTCTTCATTCAGGAGTCTAAAGTAAAAGGATTCATTCAGGTCAGCCTGGACAACATAGCCCTGATGAATAGTTTCTGTCTTAATTTTATTTAAAAAATGGTTTTTCCAAGCTGAAGTGACTTGATGTCCCTGCCAGCACCCTCCAGGCATTTTCCCCCAGCCTCAGTATCTCCTCTGCCAGGAGGGAACCTTGCCACCTGCTCATTTCCCCAGATCCATAAGATAAGGGGTGTAAGGAAAGCTGCCTTGCAGGGGGCAAAGTTCTGCCTGTTTGAAGCCACTCCCAGAAGCAGGTGGAGGACAGAGCCGGCCCGGTTCCGGTTCCGAGGGCAGGTCCTTCCCAGATCAGCCCCCAGCCAGTGGCCTTCAAAGCCCTGGGTGGGGCATAGGCTCAGGCCCCAGGCCAGGCTGGGTGACTCCAGGACCTGCCGGCTCCCTCTGGGCTCGTGGTCTTGACTGTGGAATGATGGGAGGTTGGTTTTGATTTCTGGCCCCCTCTGATATTGCTGTGACACTCTGCCTTCCTGGAAACAAGTGCGGATCCAGGATGTGAGAATAACTGGGGTACAGTGCAGGCAGCCTTCTGGACGTAAGAGAGGTTGGCCCAGAAGGGGAAATGGGGACTGGATGGCATCCCAGGGAGTTGCCCTCAGATTTCCCAGGATGGAGGAAGGGGGAAGGGTTATGGGATAGATTGGGTGGGGAACTTCCTTGGAAGATGACTGGTGATGGCTACTCTGAACTCATCTCTCTCTTTCCCCTCTTGTCTCTCTTTCTCTGTCTCTCTCTCCTTCCACAGATGAATTGGGTGAGTATCTAGAAGCAGGTGGATGGGAAGCTTAGGGGGCGCTGATAGAGGGGAGTCTAGGACTTGCCCCTTCAGTGAAGGTCACTGTGATGATGGGTCATTCAGCCACTTGGCAGACTCATTACGCCCTCCCAAGTGCCAGGCACGGTTTTCTAAACACTGGGAAACCAGCCTTCCCAGAGCAGGGGTCTCTAAGAAGCCCCAGGACTGCAAACACCGAAAGGCCGAGAAATGAATGAACAGGATACAGTTAGGTTAGAGCTTGAGAAAGAAAAGAAAAAAGAAACCGAAGAGGTCAGCTGTGGCAGTGCACGCCTATAATCTCAGCACTTGAGAGGCTGACACAGGAGGATCTTGTGCTCAAGACCACCTGGGCAAAAGAAATGCCTGAAAACCAAAGTAGGCTGAGCGTGGGGTGGTGCATGCCTGTGATCTGATGGGAGCTACTGGGGACTGGGGAGGCAGAGATAGGAGAATCAAGGTTCAAGGCCAGCCCAGACCAAAGTTAGTGACATCTTAAAAACAAACAAGCTGGATGTGATGTGTCCAGTCCTGGAATCCCAGATAAGAAGGAGGCAGAGCTGGGCTATTGAAAGAAGAAAGAGAAAAACAAAAACCAAATGCCAAGCTCTATCTGACAAACCAACTAAAAGCAAAAGAGCTTCGGGGGAGATGGGGTGTCTCAAGTTCATAAGCACTTGCCTAGCCAGCAAGAGGCTCTTGAGTTCAAATCTCGGTACTGCAAAAGCAGCAGTAACAACCACAAAAACAACACAAAACCAGAAATGATGACTTCCTAACTCTGAATTGAGCAAGGGCAGGGTCACGAAGCAATGCAGCCAAACCCTTCCAGATGGTGGCAGGGGATCCGCAGGTACCCTGTAGGGGTCTAGGCCAAGCAGAGCTTTCCAGCTGAGGCGCTGGGCCTCCACCCTTACAGCCTTAGGATCAGGGCCCTTCCTGCGTGCAGGTGGAGGGGAGGGGGGCTGGTGGATTCAGGAGCACTAGGGAGGGGAGGGCAGTGAAAAGGGGGGGGGCGGGTGGAGGAGGAAAGGAATCCGACGACCCTCGGCTTCCAAGCTGTGCGGAGGGGGAAGCTGCGGCCCCGTCCGCAGGAAACACCTCTGGCCGGCGGGGCTGGGAGCCGGTGTGACCCCCGCCTGGGGTTTCAGCCCGCATCCCCGCCGCCCGCGTCGGCTTCTCCCGCAGAGATCATCGACGAGTACATCAAGGAGAACGGCTTCGGCCTGGACGGGGCGCAGCTGGTGCCCCGCGGGGCGGCGGCGCTGAGCACCGTGACCCTGGGCCCCGCCCCGCCGCCCAGCCCGGCCACGCCGCCGCCTTGGGGCTGCGCCCTCAGCCGCCTGGGCCCGCCCGGGCCCGGCCCGCGGCCGCACCTGGTCATCACCGAGCAGCCGAAGCAGCGCGGGATGCGCTTCCGCTACGAGTGCGAGGGCCGCTCGGCCGGCAGCATCCTGGGCGAGAGCAGCACCGAGGCCAGCAAGACGCTGCCCGCCATCGAGGTGGGCGGGGTTGGGGCGGGACTATGCGCGGGGGGGCGGGCTGGAGGCGGGGCATCGATGATGGGCGGGCGAGGGGACCTTAGATATGGGGTGGTGGGCGGGGTTGTGGGTGGTGGGCGGAGCTTGAAGGGGAGTGTGGGCGGGCGTAGAAGGTAGGGTGGTGGATCGGGAAGGACCTTAGTAGAGTGGGCGGGGCGGAGGGCGGGACTATGGCTGATGGGCGGGTGGGGGAGAACCTTAGATGCGGAGGACAGGGACTCCCGGGTGATGGGCAGCATGTGGGCGTGTCAGTGGGCGGGCCTTGTCGGTGGTGGGTGTTGCTGCTGTGGGCAGCGTTTGGAGCTAGGACGTTGTAGAGCTGGGCTTTTATCATTCTTGCTGTCCTTGAGCCAGGACATAGAGTACCACCTATTACCAAACCCCAAAAGTAGTAAAGAGCTGGGCATGGTGGGGCACCTGTGTAATCTTAGCATATAGGAGGAAGATGAAGCAGGAGGACTAGAGTTCAAGGCCAACCTGGGCTACTTAGCAAGTTCAAGGCTGGCCTGAGATACAAAGGAAGTTCAAGGTCAGCCTGGGCTGTGTAAGAAGTTCAATGGAGTGGTGCCCACAGCTGGGTAAAGATGGAGGGCTGAGGCTGTCTACTGCATCCCTGTTAGCCTGGGCAACAGTGAGGGAGATGCTTCCGGGTTAAACACTGGAAAGCTGGTGAAATAAACTACATGTGCGTGGCACAGCACTGCCCAGAAACAGCAGAGCCTGGGAATGTGTGCCCAGACATACGCAGGCCCAAAATTCAGAAATGAAGGTGTGTGCCCCAGGTATTGATGGGAAGGTGTGAACATGCCTGTAATCCCTGCTCTTAGGAGACAGAGACGGAAGAAGAGTTTTAAGCCAACCTGGACTACATAGTGAGACCCTGACTGAGAAAGAAAAAAAATAGTAACTACTTCCACTAATAAGTACCTGCAGGACTAGAGGTGTAGCTCAAGTGGTAAAAACATCAGTTTAGCAAACAGGAGTCCCTGAGTTCAAACCCCAGGACTAACAGAATAAAAACTTCCCTGGAAATCGAATTGTAGACTCCTACACAAGTACTATATTGTTCTTCTGCAGCTGGAAAAGGCCTAGCATATGGTAGGAAGTGGTCTAGCACTGAGTTATAATCCCAGCTCCTATGTTAAAGGATTTTTTGTTTTTGTTTTTGTTGGTCATTGGGCTTGAACTCTGGGTCTGGGTGCTGTCGCTGTCTATAAGCTCTTTAGCTCACAGAGAGCACTGTACCAGTTGAGCCATAGCACCACTTCCTGTTAAAGGTTTTTTATTTTGTGTGCATGCATGTGTGTGCTCATTCGAGCGTGTATACACATGTGCATATACTAGTATTAGGGCTTTAACTCAGAGCCCGGCTTTCGCTTGGCTTTTCCCTTACCATTTCTGGCTTTTTGGTGGTTAACTGAAGATAAGAGATTCACAGACTTTTTCTTTCTGGGCTGGTTTTGAACCATAATTCTGAGCCTCCTGAGTAGTTAGGATTACAGGCATGAACCACCAGCACCTGGCTTCCCTGATCTTGAATTCAGGCTTGAATTCAAGGCCTGGGCGCTTTCCCTGAGCTTTTCTCCTCAATGCTAGCACTCTATCCCTTTGAGTCACAGCTCCACTTCTGGTTTTCTGGCTTTGAACCATGATCCTCAGATCTCAGCCTCCTGAATAGCTAGGATTACAGGCGTGAGCCACCAGAGCCCAGCAACCTGATCATTTTTAACAACGCATTTAGAAGTTTTGGATGACACCAACTAGTCATCTGGGACTGCCCCTAATATTAGGAAATGGCAGCTGGGGTCCTAGCTACAACCTGTCCCCCAGGAACCTTATCATCCAACACCATCCTCGGTACCCTCTCCAGCCCCTAGAGGGAAGCACTGTACCACAGAGACTCAGATGAATTTCCTCTAGTTCCGCACTGCCCAACCTGGCCTTGAACCCTTGAGCTGCCCATCTGGAAATCTGAAATCATATAGTGTCGAATAATTTTAAATTGTAGACTCCAAATTCCCCCAACTTATTTATTTAGGCAGTGCTGAGGGTAGAACCCAGGGCTTTGTCCTGAGTTCACAAGCTCTCACAATTTTGATTTATGTTCTTTTTTTTCTTCCCCTCCAATTCAAGAGCTGATAAAGGGTCATTTGGTATGTGCCACTATTGGGGCTTGAACTCACAGCTTTTTACTGTCACTTGACTTTTTTTTTTTGGTCATGGTGAACTCTGGGCCTGGGCACTGTCCCTCAGCTCTTCAGATCAAGGCTAGTGTGCTCTACCACTTGAGCCACGGCACCACTTCCAGTTTTCTGAGTGGTTTATTTTCTATTTATTTATTTTTGGGTCCGGTCTTGGGGCCTGAACTCTGGGCCTGGGCGCTGTCCCTCAGCTCTTCAGCTCAAAGCTAGCGCTGTACTGAGTGGTTTATTGGAGATAAGAGTCACAGACTTTCCTGCCCAGGCTCAATTTGGACCTGGATCCTCAGATCTCAGCCTCCTGAGCAGCTAGGATTACAGGCATGAGCCACCAGCACCCAGTTTGACTGTTTTTTTTTTTTTTTTTCCTACTCAAGGCTAGCACTGTACCACTTGAGCCACACACTTCCACTTCCACAGTCATTTGTTATATTTGGTTGTAACTCTTCTGTCTCAGGATTGTTTTTTGAGACAAGATCTCACTGTGTAGCACAGACTGGCCTTGAACTGTCCATTCTCCTGCCTGAGCCACCTGAGTGCTGGGATTATAGTCTTGTACTGCCATACCTGGCCAGTAGAGGGGACTCAACCAGATACCTTTCCATCATCTTGATGTAGAAGGTCAGGATGCTACAAGGGAGTCCCTGAGAGTTCAATGGAGTTAGGGTCTGGTATAGGCCACCTGACCAAAAAAAAAAAAAAGCTTATTTATCTTTGCGCAGCTCCGGGACTATGGCGGGCTGCGGGAAGTGGAGGTGACCGCATGCCTGGTATGGAAAGACTGGCCGCACCGGGTTCACCCACACAGCCTTGTGGGGAAAGACTGTACTGACGGTGTGTGTAGGGTGCGGCTAAGGCCTCACGTCAGTCCTCGACACAGGTATTTGACCCCCTGAACCTCTGACCCCTCACCCCTAGACCCTGACCCCTCACCTCTGGTCATAGAAACTCGGAAGGTAAAGATAAACCTAGGGAAATGCAAGGCAGGGGCAACTTGGCCAAACCCTCCGTACGGCATCCATCTTGTGGGTGGGGAAACAGGTCTAGGTGGCAGAGGGCCCCATGTCCCACATTCTCTGTGGGGAGACTGAGGCATGGAGGGAGGTAAGGCACAGATGGTTCACAGCTGGACTTTGACTCCAGATCAGACTTTTTTTTTTTTCTTTGCCAGTCCTGGGGCTTGAACTCAGGGCCTGGGCTTTGTCTCTGAGTGTCTTTTTCTCAAGGCTAGCACTCTACCACTTGAGCCACAGCACCACTCCAGGATTTTTTGGTAGTTTATTGGAGATAAGAGTCTCATGAACTTTCCTGCCTAGGCTAGCTTTGAGCCAGGATCCTCAGACCTCAGTCTCTTAAATGGCCAGGATGACAGGCATGAGCCAGTGGTGCCTGGGTTCTAGACGAGACTTAACTACAAGACCTGATCTTATGCTCACTTTGCACTTTATATAGTTTTCATAAGTAAAAAAATGAAAGGCTCAAGCCAGGTGCCTGTGGCTCACACCTGTAATCTTCACTTCCCAGGAAGCTAAGATGTAAGGATCATGGTTTAAAACCAGCCCAGGCAGGAAAGTCTGTGAGACTGTCTTATCTCCAATGAACTACCAAAAAGCCAGAAATGGCATTATGGCTCAGAGTGGTAGAGCACTAGTCGTTAGCACAAAAGCTCAGAGACAACTCCAGAGTTCAAGCCCCAGGACAGGCACACACAAAGAAAGAGAGAGAGGGGCTGGGACTGTGGCTTAGTGGTAGAGAGCTCGCCTAGCATGCATAAAGCCCTAGATTAGATTCCTCAGAAGCACATAAACAGAAAAAGCCAGAAGTGGTGCTGTGACTCAAGTGGTAGAGTGCTAGCCTTGAGCAAAAGCAGCTCAGGGACAGTGCCCAGGCCCGGAGTTCAAGCCCCAAGACCCTCCTCCTCAAAAAAGTCCGTTTTTCTAAAATAGTATCCCCCAAATAGCTAGCTTACTCTGGCCTAGAACTCTCTATCTTCCTGCCTCAGCTTCCCAAAGTGCTGGGGTTTCAGGCCTCATTTGCAGTTTTCTGATTATTAGCAACACTGCTTACTCTTTTTATATGGCAAACGTATGGTGGGTTTGCCAGGTCTCCTCCAGATTCCTGGTGATACCAGGTACTGGTGGCTCACACCTATAACCCTAGTTATTCAGGTTGCTGGGCTACCAGGATCACAGTTGGAAGCCAGCTCAGGGAAGAAAGTCTGTGAGACTCTTATCTCCAGATAACCACCAGTGGTGCTGTGTGGCTCAAAGTGGTAGAGCGCTAGCCTTGAGTGAAGTTTAGGGACAGTGCCCAGGCCGTGAGTTCAAGCCCCATGACCAAGAAAAAAAGAAAATCCTGGTAAGCACTGTCAGATGTTTCAACGCCAGGCCCTTTGCTGGGATCTGGGAGGCTGGGGTGTCTGAGCCATCCTGCTGGCCCTCACAAGCAGCTGTCTCTGTCCCCACGCAGCTTTAACAACCTGGGCATCCAGTGTGTCAGGAAGAAGGAGATCGAAGCTGCCATTGAGCGCAAGATTCAGCTGGGCATCGACCCCTACAATGGTGAGCACTCTGCCCCGCTCTTTGTCCACCTACCGCATCTCCTATTGGCCCACTGTCCCCTTTCCTTCCCACCCCCTTCCTCAGCCGTCATGTCTCCCAACAGCGGGCTCCCTGAAGAACCATCAGGAAGTGGACATGAATGTGGTGAGGATCTGTTTTCAGGCGTCATACCGGGACCAGCAAGGACAGATGCGCCGCCTGGACCCTGTGCTCTCTGAACCTGTCTATGACAAGAGTGAGTGTGTGTGTTGGGGGGAGGCGGGGTTCACTAGGACTGTCCTGGGCCTTCCACTTACAAACAGGAAGTCATTTCTCTTATTTTTGTGTGTGTGCTAATACTGGGGCTTGAACTCAGGGCCTGGGTGCCATTCTCGAGCTTTTTCGCTCAAGGTTGGTGCTCTGACCACTAGAGGCAGAGATCTACTTTTGGCTTATTGGTAGTTAATTGGAGATGAGTCTCACAGCCTTTTCTGCCTGAGCTGGCTTTGAACTCAGTGATACCGGTGCCTTATGTGAGGAGTTCATTGTTTGCAGGCACCTGCTCTTACCACTACAGCTCCACTGTTTTTAGCCCAAAGTCTCACAGCTGTCTCTCATTGGTTATTTGCGTCTCTCTGACCAGTCAGCTGTGACTAAAGGGAGGTGATGCTCTGATTGGTCAGATGGAGGGTCACATGATCAGTGAGCTAGAGCATGGTTTCAGCCCTGCCCACTCCCCAAGATTGATGTGAGTGTTGGTCCCTTAAGAGAAGTGGGGACTGTTTACAGAATAGTTAGGATGTCCAGGAAGTGGTGCTGTGGCTCAAGTGGTAGAGTGCTAGCTTTGAGCAAAAGAGCTCAGGGATAGCACCTAGGGCCTGAGTTCAAGCCCCACAACAGGAAGGGAGGAAGGAAGGAAGGGAGGGAGGGAGGGAGGGGAAAAAGAAAAACAAGTGTCCACTAGTTTAGCCATACACCCTCACTCTGGGCCTTCTCTGACCCCTAGTCCCACTAGCTCTCCTAAGCATGACATACACTCAGCTGATCTGAATGGAAGCATGGAAGAGCTGAATGTCATCTTGGCTCCACCAGGACTGTGGGGGCCAGACTGAGCCTTTCTCCATCTCCCACATGTCCATAGAATGCCCCTCAAGGTTTGATGACTGAATTCTCGTTTTCCTTCCCAGAGTCCACAAACACGTCAGAGCTGCGGATTTGTAGGATTAACAAGGAGAGTGGGCCCTGCACGGGTGGGGAGGAGCTCTACCTGCTGTGCGACAAAGTGCAGAAAGGTGAGGGGTGCCACAGGCTGGGTGGGGCTCAGGCGAACCCACCACCTTGACGCGGCTGATTGGTTCACACACCTGCCTGTTACCTGCATAAGGATGGAGGTGGGGCTTATACCTTCCCCCCTCCTCCCCAGGTTCTACACACTTTCATGCCAGAGGCACAAGTGCATAGATGGTTTATGAGGGGCTGGGGTGCAGCTTAGGCCCTGGATTCTGTCCTCATTACTGGAAAAAAAAAAGAAGATTAATAAAAGCCTGGCACTAGTGGCTCATGTTTAAAATCCTACCTTCTCAGGAGGCTAAGATCTGAGGATCACGGTTTGAAGCCAGCCTGGGCAATTAAGTCCATGAGAATCTTATCTCCAATTAACCACAAAAAAGCCACAAGTAGAGCCGTGGCTCAAGTGGTAGAGTACCAGCCTTGAGTGAAAAAGCTCAGGGACAGCACCTAGGCCCTGAGTTCAAGTCCCAGGACTGGCACACACACACACACACACAAACCTTAAAAATAAAGGGCTGGGAAGGTAGCTCAATGGTAGAGTGCTTGCCTTGCATGCATGAGGCCCTGGGTTCAATTCCTCAGCACCACATAAGCAGAGAAAAAAAAAAGCCGGATGTGGCGCTGTGGCTCAACTGGTAGAGCGCTAGCCTTAAGCTGAAGAGCTGAGGGACAGTGCCCAGGCCCAGAGTTTAGGCCCCACGACCGGACCCAAAAAAACAACAACAAAAAACTTAAAAAATAAAAAAGATTCTGACAGTGGCTTTAAGGGGTAGGGAAGGGACAAAGGGCGTGGGACAGATGTCTTCAGCTCATCTGCATCTGTCTAAATGTCCTCACATAGGTTTCATAACCAAAACGGAAGAACAACTTCCCTCTAAACAAACAAAAACCTCCAGCCAGGTGCCAGTAGTTCATGCCAGTAAGCTGTAGCTACTCAGGAGGCTAAAATCTGGGGGCTAGTGGTTCCAAGTCAAGCCTGGGCAGCAAAATCCATGAGACTCTTGTTATGTCCCATTAAACAGCAAAAAGCTGGGCTGGAGGTGTGGCTCAAATGGTGGAGCCCCAGCTGGGATTGAGCCAGTATGAGGATCTCAGTTAAAGTCCTGGTACCAAGACCAAAAAAAAAAAAACAAAAACAAAAAACACATAAATGTACAAAATACTGAGTAATCAGTGTATGATAGAATGTAGGGTTGTTTTTTGGTTCGGTTTTTATTTAGGTTGTAGAGTATGAAGAGTGTAGGTTTTTTTTTTTTTTTTTTTTGTCGGCCGTGGGGCTTGAACTCTGGGCCTGGGCGCTGTCCTTCAGCTCTTCTGCTCAAGGCGAGTGCTCTACCACTTGAGCTACAGCGCCACTTCTGGTCTTCTGGTGGTTTATTGGAGATAGGAATCTCACGGTCTTTCTCAGCCTCCTGAGAAGCTAGGATTACAGGCGTGAGCCACCAGCGCCCGGCTGTAGGTTTGTTTTTTGTTTTGCTTTTTGCTGGTCATAGGGCTTGAACTTAGGGACTGGGTACTGTCCCTGAGCTCTTTTTGCTTAAGGGTAGCGCTCTACCACTTTGAGCCACAGCACTACTTGTGGTTTTCTGGTGGTTCATTGGACATAAGCGTCTCATAGACTTTCCTGCCCGAGCTGGCTTTGAACCTCCATTCTCAGATCAGGTGCCAGTGCCCGGCAAGAGTGTGGTTTTATCCTCAGGAACAGTGGGGTCTGTTTGGAGGATGCTGAGTGGGGTTCGGGCTGGCTGAGGATCCCCCCTCAGCCACTGCCCTGTCTTCCCACAGAGGACATTTCTGTGGTGTTCAGCACGGTCTCCTGGGAGGGCCGGGCCGACTTCTCCCAAGCCGATGTGCACCGGCAGATTGCCATTGTGTTCAAGACCCCTCCCTACGAGGACCTGGAGATCTCAGAGCCCGTCACAGTCAATGTCTTCCTGCAGCGGCTCACAGATGGTGTCTGCAGCGAGCCTCTGCCCTTCACCTACCTGCCTCGGGACCACGGTAACCATGACAACCAGCCCACCCGCCCCAGACCAGGTCCTCAGGCTCACTGAAGAAATTCAGCTCGAGTCATTTGATCCTGAGTGCAAATCAGGGAAGCTACTGGTAGAGGGGACAGCTGAGCTGAAGAAAGGAGAATGACTTAGAGGTCCAGTGAGAGTTGAAGGAGGGTATTTTAAGTAGCTTGAAAAGCAAGTGCGAGTGTCCTGAGATAGTATTGTGCTCAGGTGTGTCTGGAAGGGAATTTGGTTTTATCTGATATGGACTATCAACATCTGTTTATTTGCATCGTTTGGGTAGGTACAAGCGCAGTTGGGGTATAGTGGTACCCACCTGTAATCCCAGCACTCTTGAAGTTATGGAAGGAGAGAGGGTCTTTGGTTCCAAGGCCAGCTTGGGCTACATAGCAAAATCTTGACTAAAAGAACAAAGGCAGCCGGGCACCAATGGCTCATGCCTGTAATCCTAGGTACTCAGGAGGCTGAGATCTGAGGATCGAGGCTTAAAGCCAGCCCAAGCAGGAAAGTCTATGAGACTCTTACCTCCAGTAAACCACTAGAAAACCAGAAGTGGTACTGTGGCTCAAGTGGTAAAGTGCTTTCCTTGAGCTCAAAAGCTCAAGAGACAGTGCCCAGGTCCAGAGTTCAAGCCCCATAATGAGAGAGAGAGAAAAAAAGCTCAGCCACTTTCTAGATGGCTCTATGATTAACCATCAGTTACTGACTGTGATAAATGGTTAAGTGATCATTATTTTGTTGGCTGTATGGCTTGAATTCAGGGCCTGGACTCTGTCCCTGAGCTCTTTTGCTCAAGATTAGCGCTCTACCATTTGAGCCAGAGCACCACTTCTGGTTTTCTGATGGTTTATAGGAGGTAAGAGTCTTACATTTTCCTGCTTGGGCTGGCTTTGAACCGTGATCCTCAGATCTCAGCTTCCTGAGTAGCTAGGATGACAGGCAGGAGCCACTGGTGCCTAGCTGATTAATTACTTTTTTGTATGCTTCTGGTATCTTCGAACAGACAGTTATGGCGTGGACAAAAAGCGGAAACGGGGAATGCCAGACGTCCTTGGGGAGCTGAGCAGTTCTGGTCTGTCCCCTGGACCCCTTTCCACACTTAAGTCCCTGGGAGTGTGTGTGGGAACCCCCCCTTTAATACCAGCCCACAGATGGGGAGCTTTGGGAGTTAAGGGGTCATCTCCTCTGCCTCCCTCAGACCCCCATGGCATTGAGAGTAAACGGAGGAAGAAGAAGCCAGCCTTCCTGGACCACTTCCTGCCTGGCCATAGCTCAGGTAGGTCCCAATCCCCTGCCATAAGCTGAGACTAAGTGGCAGCCCTGCTTTGTTGGTCTCTTTACAATGTGTTAAGGATGGCTCCCAGCTCCGCAGAGTAGGAAGATATGTGTGTGATCTCTGCTGGGCTGTCCACTTGCAGTGTAACCTTTGTCAACCTGGTCTACCACTCTGAGCCTCAGGGACAACTTGGGGAAATCTCAGTGTATACCTGTGTCCTGGGATTTTACAGTTTAATGCAGTAAGTGCCCATACCATCCCCACCAGACATCTTGATCTTACATGATTTCAGGAACTAAGTAGGGTCATACCTGACTAGTACATGAATGGGAGACTGCTCAGAATACTGGGTGATATATGCTTTTTTTTTTGTTGTTGTTCTACAACTTGAACCACACTTCCAGCCTTTACTTTTCTTTCCTTTTTACTTTCTCTTTTTTTGCAGTTGGCTTAAATTTTTTCTTTTGCCAGTCTTGGTGCTTGAACTCAGGGCCCAGGTACTGTCTCTTGAGCTTTTTTGTTCAAGGCTGGTGCTTTACTACTTGAGCCACAGCTCTACTTCCAATTTTTTCTTTTTGTTTGTTTTGGTAGTTAATTGGAGATGAGGGTCTCATGGGCTTCCCTGTCCAGACTGGCTCCAAACTTCAATCCTCAAGATCCCAGCCTCTTGAGTAGCTAGGATCATAGGTGTGAGCTATTGATACCTGGCTCCAAAAACTTTTTTTTTTTTTTTTTTGCCAGTCCTGGGGCTTGAATTCAGGGACTGGGCACTGTCTCTGAGGTTCTTTTTGCTTAAGGCTAACACTCCACCACTTGAGCCACAACGCCACTTCTGGCTTTTTCTGTGAATGTCGTAATGTGGAATTAAACCCAGGGCTTCGCACATGCTAGGTAAACACTCTATCACTAAGTTATATTCTCAGCTCCAAGAATTTTTTTTTTTTGGTCGGTCCTGGGACTTGAACTCTGGGCCTGGGCGCTGTCCCTGAGTTGTTCAGCTCAAGGCGGGTGCTCTACCACTCAAGCCACAGTGCCACTTCTTGCTTTTTCCGCTTATGTGGTACTGAGGAATCAAACCCAGGGCCTCATGCATGCATGACAAGCACTCTACCACTGAGCCACCTTCCCAGCCCCCCCAAAACACTTTTTAATAAATGTAATGCTAGCGGGGCACTCGTGGCTCATGGTTTTTTTTTTTTTTTGGTCAGTCGTGGGGCTTGAACTCTGGGCCTGGGCGATGTCCTTCAGCTCTTCAGCTCAAGGCCAGCGCTCTACCACTTGAGCTACAGCACCACTTCCGGTTTTCTGGTGGTTTTATTGGAGATAGGAGTCTCACGGTCTCTCCTGCCCGAACTGAACCACAATCCTCAGATCTCAGCCTCCAGAGTAACTAGGACTACAGGCGTGAGCCACCCACGCCAGGCTATCGTGGCTCATGCTTTAATCCTAGCTACTCAGGAGGCTGAGATCTGAGGATGGGGGTTTGGAACCATCCCGGGCAGAAAAGTCACTGAGATACTTTTTCTCCAATTAACCACTCAACAACAACAACAAAAAAAAACCCAAAGCCCGGAAGTGGAGCTGTGGGTCCAAATGATAGAGCATGTGCACATTTCGCTCCTGGTTCCACATTAGGACAGCTGTGTGCAGTTATTTTCCCCACTGCCTTCTTCCACTTACCTAGTAGTAGGAATGGTGGGATGACAGTCCTCAGCTGGAACGGAAGATGATCTGATGAGGCATTTAGCCTGAGGCCAGAGGGGGCCTGGCTGGAAGTTGCTCCAGAAACCAGAGCTAGCTTTCTCTCCCCTTCTCCCCGCAGGCCTGTTCCTCCCTCCCTCCATCCTGCAGTCTGACAACGACTTCTTCCCCAGCTCCGTGTCCTTGCCAGGCCTGGAGCCCCCCGGGGGTCCTGACCTCATGGAAGACTTCACCTACGACCCCACAGCCCCCACCCTCTTCACCATGCTGGACCTGCTGCCCCCAGCGCCGCCCCTGGCCAGCGCCGTGTCCAGCAGCGCGGGTGCCGGGCCCTCGGTGGCCGAGTCCCCGGATCCCGAGCCCCTGACCCTGGACTCGTACCCGGCCCCGGGCCTCGGGGACGGAGGCACCGCCAGCCTTGTGGGCAGCAATATGTTTCCCAACCAGTACCGCGAGGCAGCCTTCGGGGGTGGCCTCCTGTCCCCGGGGCCCGAGGCCACGTAGCCCTGGCGGTGCCGGGAGGGTTGAGGGGGGTCAGACCTGGGCCCCCCCTCGGGTCAGTCTTCCGGTCTCCTCATCCCTGTGCGTCGGACGGACACCTGCAGCGCTGGCGACAGCCTCGGGAACACGGGCTCCCCTCGGGCCTCCGTTTTATATGAGAAATCGGGTTGGAGGAGAAGCTAAGGGGAGGGGGGCATGGCTCCCCCAGCGACCCCCACACACGTGGCCACCTTCGGGAGGGGCCCCCGGATTGTGATTGTTCCTAGGGGAGGAGAGGGAAACTCCTTGGCACCCTTGCGGGTGAGAGGAGGTTGTTTGTGCAGAGCCTTCTCAATAAAGAGGAGTTTTTGAACCTTGGGGGGGGGCCTCTCTTTGCATGGGGCGTGTGTGTGGCGGGGGACGAGGAACAAGGTCCGGGGGTCAGCAAGGCTCCGACGCTCCTTCCGGAACGCGCCACGCCCACTCCAGGCACAGGCCACGCCCTCCCGCCGCGCAGGCCCGAGGACGTCATCATCGCTGTCTTTTAGGCCACGCCCTCACGCCGTCGGAAGCTCCCAGCCTTGCCGTCCCTCCCTCCCCCTCCCTTTTCGCGCGGCCTCCAACTTCCGCTTCCGGTGTGGGCTAAGAGAGCGAGCGCGCGCGCGCGTGAGCGCGGGGGAGCGAGCGCAGCAGTAGGAGGCGGCGGCGACCAGCCAGCCGGTGAGTGCAGGCGTCGGGCCCGGACCTCCCGTTTGTTGGGCTGCGTCAGAGCCGCTTGGCTCTCGTCGCGGGTTCTCCCGCGGTGCTGTCCGCGGGGCCCTGGTCCCGGAGCCGGCCTCGCCTGCACCCCCTTCGTTCCCGACAGGCCTCGGGCCGCGCCGCTGAGGGCCCGATTCGCGCCGTCGGCCTCGGCCCTGACCAGGTGCTCCAGCCCTGTCCAGACCCTCAGCTTCTCCCCCTGCCCCCCGGGACGCACTCCGCTCCGCCTCCGCGCGGTACCCCACTGTTCCCTGGATACGCTCCTTGCTTCGGGGCCATCCATGTAGACTTCAAGTGCGCCCCAAGACCCCCCCTCCCGCTTCTATCCACGCCCTTCACCTGCCCTCGACCCCGCCTCTATACGGCCGCGGGGGGGGGGTCCCAGGAGGCTCGCCTGGGATCCTCCCTGGAGGATCACTCGGGTGGGGGAAAGCCTTTTCCGTTTTTCCCTTTGGGCGAGTTTCGGCCCGAGCTGCCCTTGGGTGTGCCTCCTCCTCCCTTCCCAGAAGGGATTGATTGGGACTCCAGCGCCTGCAATCTGGGGCATGTGCGCACCCCAGAATGCCCTGGCTTCCCGTGAAGAGTCAGTTAGTGGTCTGGGTTAGCCATGAATTGTATTCCTTGCTTCTGCAAAGGACTTCCTTCTTCCCTCAACCGAGAGGCTCAGTCACCAGGCTTGTTAATTGACCCAGGCCCACCCTTTTGGTTTTTGCTGCCCATCGGACACTGCCGCTCCCCTCATCCCTCAGGTTGGGGCGCCACGCTTGGCTTCACCACCACCACCACCACCACCATGTGGCACGAAGCTCGGAAGCATGAGCGCAAGCTTCGCGGTATGATGGTGGACTACAAGAAGAGGGCCGAGCGGCGTAGGGAGTACTATGAGAAAATTGTGAGTGACCAGGCTTTTTGTCTGGGTTGGGGGAGGGGGGCTGCCCTTCAGAAAGCAGTCATCAAGATAGGATTGGGGTTAGGAGGCCGCATGGGGTGGCACAAATCTATAATCCCTATTAGGGAAGTGAAGGCAAGGATCCTGAGACCTTAGGTTCAGGGTACAGGGCCAGCCCAAACAAAGTTAAGTCCAAATCCCTATCTGCAAAACAAAAGGGAAAGCAAAAGGGAAAAGCCAGGGAAATGGCTCAAAGAGTAGAACATTTGCCGAGCAAGTTCAAGGCTCTGGGTCTATCCCCAGTATTGCAAAATAAAAATGAAAAAAAAAAATTGAGCTGGGCACCAAGTGGCTCACACTTGTAATCCTAGCTACTCAAGAAGTTGAGATTCGAGTGAGGATTACAGTGGGAAGTCAGCAGGAGCAGGAAATTCCTTGAGACTTAGAATCTCCAGTCAACTATGCAAAAACCAGAAGTCGAGTGTGGCTCAAGTGGTACAGTGCTAACTTTGAGCTTGTAAAAAAGCTCAAGGACAATGCCCGGGCCTAGAGTTCAAGTCCTAGGACTGGCACATATGTATGCGCGCACACACACATAGAAAGGAAGAAGAAAAAGGAAAAAAAAAAGCAATTGGGTAGTTGGGTTTATACCAGGCACTCTTTCCTTGGGACAATGGTCATTCTTTGTGTGGAGGCCGATGTCAGATAAGAGCATGAGGGGGACTCCATTGGTTGCTGGTTCCTCTGTGTTTGCAAGGCCCCAGAGAGCAGGTCTGGAGTTAAGTGGAAGGAAGGAAAGACTTGTAACCCTGTGTAGTGCACATGTAAGACTCACTGCTCCTAGAACACTGTTGCCCGCTGCTGGGTGCCTAGTGCTCAGAAAAGCATGGCCACTCCTGAGGCTTGGCGTGCAGCAGCAGGATTGATTGAGTGTCATCTGACCAGGCCACTCTCCTCACTGGTGCTTTAGTTGATTTTGGAGAAAAGAGCACACCCCATGCCTGGGTTTATGCATGAGGCCCTTGTAATCCCCTCACACCGTCTTACTCCCTGGTGCTTGCACTCCCAGCCCAAAATGGGCCTTGTGTATTGGCATGGCTCAGGAGATGGGGAATTGCCCTAGCTAAGTGCCAACCCAGCATTGAGCCCACAAGTGACTTGTGGCCAGTTGGAGAGGGTGAGAGCAGCTCTTGGAAGGCTTGGTAGAGAGTTGGTTAGGCACATAGTAAAGTGCCTGTGCTTGAAATTACCATGATGTTAGAGCTCAATACCACTTAATTGTGTGCAGCTCCAGGCCGTGTGTGTGTGTGTGTGTGTGTGTGTGTGTGTGTGTGTGAATTTGAATGGAGGGGACCAAGAGGAAAGAAGACTGCATTTGGGACCCTGGGAAGCCCCAGAATTCCCTCCTCCTTAGTAGCAGGGAGCCTCCTGAGCTTGCTTCTCCTTAGGGCAGTGGTGGCGGTGCCAGCACCTCGTTGGTGACAGGACGGGAAGGGGCTTCACGAGAGTCTATGGGTGCATTGTGGCAGGGCCCGAACAAGCAGCCAGTGTCCCTGGCTGGGAACGAGATGGGCATTCAGATGTGCTGTGCCAAGCCGTGGGAGCTGGCAGCCACGTGGTGGCTGTCATCTTGCTCTGGGGCTGAGTGGGGAGGCTACAGTGCTGGCCCCAGTGGACATGGACGGGCTGGGCGGGTGTGACATCTGAGCAGCCATTCTCTCTGTTCCTGCCTGGGCCTTGGTGCCTGTAGATGTTCCCCACCCTCGGTCATTAGCTGCCCCAAGTCTGTCACTGCTCCTGTGCATTGGTTAGATAAAGAAATAGTTGGGCTGGGAAGGTGGCTCAGTGGTAGAGCGCTTGCCTTGCATGCCTGAGGCCCTGGGTTCGATTCCTCAGCACCACATAAGCAAAAAGAAAAAAAAGCTGAAGTGGTGCTGTGGCTCAAGTGGTAGAGTGCTAGTCTTGAGCTGAAGAGTTTGAGGGACAGCGCCCAGGCCCAGAGTTCAGGCCCCACGACTGGACTCCCCCCCCCAAAAAAAAAAAGAAAAGAAGAAATAGTTGCCAGGTGTCAGTGGCTCACTCCTATAATCCTAACTACTCAGGAGGCTAAGGAAGATCTGAGGATTGCTGTTTGATGCCATTGTGGGGAAGGAAAATCTGTGAGACTCTTAACCTCTAATCAACCACCAGAAAACCAGAAGTGGAGTTTTTGCTCAAAGTGGTAGAGTGCTAGCCTTGAGCGGAAAAGCACAGAGACAGTGCCCAGACCCTGAGTTCAAGCCCCATGACTGACAAAAAGGAACCAGTCTCCTCCACTGGCCCATGCTGGCAGGGATGGGGCTGCGTCTTTGTCACTGGGAACTGGTGCTTGATTTGATGGGTGGCTCAGAGTCCTTCCATGGCTCTTGTGGCTTCCTCTGATGTGACTCCAGCCAGGGCCTGGCCCTTGAGCAGCCTAGCTTGCATCCTTTATGCGATGTAAGGATGTGGACTTAGGATAAGCCGGGGCTGGGCAGCTCTACTGAGATACACTTCCCACCCCACACAGTCCACTCGTTTAAAGTGAGCATTTCCATGGTCCTGTGCCTGTTTGGTAGCATGAGGTCTTGAGTTCAGACCTAGTAGCACAAGTAGAATGATTAGGGAAACAAACACAAGCGTGAAGGAGGAGTATACTGCAGTTTCCGTGTGTCTGCGCACCATCATCACAATTATTTTAGAACTTTTGTTTTTGTGTGTGTGTGTGTGTCAGTTCTGGGGCTTGAACTCAGGGCCTGGGCACTGTCCCTGAGCTGCTTTTGCTCAAGGCTAGCACTCTACCACTTGAGCCACAGCACCACTTCCGGCTGTTTTTTTCTTTCTGTGTATGTGGTACTGAGGGCTGGAACCCAGGGCTTTATGCATGCTAGGCAAGCACTTTACCACTAGGCCACATTCCCAGCCCCTTATTTTAGAACTTTTGGGTGAATGTGGTGGTCCTCTCCTGAAACCTTTAGATCTCAGTCTCCTCAGTAGCTAGGATTACAAGGCTGAGCCACTGGTGCTCAGTACAGACACCAAAATTAAACATGCCAGCCAACTTTTTGTTGTTCTTATTGGTCGTTGGGCTTGACCTTTGGGCCTGAGTGTTGTCCCTCAGCTCTCTCAGCTCAAGGCTAGCACTCTGCCACTTGAGCCACAGTGCCACTTCTGGTTTTCTGGTGGTTCATTGGAGATAAGAGTCTCACGGACTTTCCTGCCTGGGTGGCTTTGAACCGTGATCCTCAGATCTCAGCCTCCTGAGTAGCTAGGATGACAGGCATGAGCCACCAGCACCTAACGAGTGCCCAGTTTTGTCCTTTCAATTTTTGCCAGTGTAGTAGGTGAGAGTTGGTCCCTTATAGCTGTGCCTGGCATATTCCTGGTGATAGTGGCATTGGCTCTCTTTCCCTTGTGAGTACACGGGCTTGCTGACTTGGAGGCTGCTCCAGTTCCAGTGCTATACTTGCTCTGGATGGATAGATGGATGGATGGAGTAAGTGAGTCGGGTGAGTGAGGATTGGGGGTGATATTTTAGGCAGAAGATGGTGGCAGAGGCTGGGAATGTGGCTCACTGGTAGAGTGCTTGCCTAGCATACATGAAGCCCTGGGTTCCATTCCTCAGTAACACATACACAGAAAAAGCAGGAAGTGGCACTGTGGCTCAAGTGGTAGAGTGCTAACCTTGAGCAAAAGAAGCTCAGGGACAGTGCTTAGGACCTGAATTCAAGCCCCAGGACTAGCAAAAAAAAAAAAAAGATGGTGGGCTCGGAAGGTGGCTCAGTGGTAGAGCACTTGCCTTGCATGCATGAGGCCCTGGGTTCAATTCCTCAGCACCACATAAGCAAAAAGAAAAAAGCCGAAGTGGCGCTGTGGCTCAAGTGGTAGAGCGCTAGTCTTGAGCTGAAGAGCTGAGGGACAGCACCCAGGCCCAGAGTTCAGGCCCCACGACTGGACCCAAAAAAAAAAAAAAGATGGTGGTAGCAGAGCTCAGAGCCACTAGCCGTCTCCAGGGAAGAAGTGGTCCTTGTGTTGGGCTAGTTGAGCCACCCTGGCTGCACACGGGTTGAATCACCTGTGAGGTGGAGCCTGTGCCACACAGGTTAGCTGGATGTTGGGCCTGCTTGTGGGGCCTGGAGGACTAGGAGCTCAGCTTAATGGTGACCTCCGTCCTGTCCACCCCACAGAAGAAGGACCCAGCTCAGTTCCTGCAGGTGCATGGCCGAGCCTGCAAAGTGCACCTGGATTCTGCTGTGGCCCTGGCTGCCGAGAGCCCTGTGAACATGTAAGATGGTGGGGTGGGGCGGGGAGGCAGCGTCTGCAGCAGGGGGTGAGGGGTGCAGCAGAGGAATTGGGGTTGGCCAGACCTTTGGACACTGGCAGGAAGAGAGGCACAGGGGAAAGTGACAGTCACAGAGTGCGGAGTAGGCAGGCTGACTTAGAGGGGCCGGGCAGGGCTGAGGCACAGGAGACGAGCTCTTCCTACCTGGTTTAAGTGCCCTGCTATTATTGGTAGTGGAGAAATGGGCTCCTTCTCCTGAGGCAGTACGGGTGGCATGCTCTAGGCCCAGCTGTAGGAGGGTCTGCGAGCCAGGCCTAGGTGGGTGTCTGAAGCCAGTGAGGGAATCATGGCCATAGGCCGGCCGGGCTCCCAGCCACAGAGAACAACAGGTGATGTGCGTGCAGAGCACCCTCCAAGCCTCTGCCGCCCCCTCCGTTTCAGGATGCCCTGGCAGGGTGACACCAACAACATGATTGACCGCTTCGATGTCCGCGCCCACCTGGACCACATCCCCGATTACACCCCCCCACTGCTCACCACCATGTAAGGGGCCTCCCCAGAGGCCCACTCGGCCTGTCCCCTCCTAGCCCCAAGTCCCGGCAGCCCCCCCTGCCCCCTGCCTGCTGCCTCTGACCTGGAGATCTCTGATTCTCCAAGCTCCCCAGAGCAGGAGTCGGATGAGCGGAAGTGCAACTACGAGCGCTACCGAGGCCTGGTGCAGAACGACTTCGCGGGCAGTGAGTGGGAGTGGGGGACCCCTGAGACTACGAGGCCTCACCAGCAGGGGAGGGGAACCCCAGGGACCTAGAGACCTAGGCAAGCAGGAGCTCTTTAGCACTGTGGTCCTGCGGCAGTGCCCACACCCCAAGCATTCACTGTGCCAGAGATCCCATCTTACAGAAAAGGAAACTGAGGCATGGGGCTTAGTCACTGAACTCAGGGTCGCTGGGCAAGTGAGTGACGGAGCTGAGGCTGTGCTGTAGTTACTTGTGCCCCAGCAGAGGGGTGATGGTCAGGAAGTGGTGACTCCACCCCAACCCCTCAACTCCACCACATTCCTGTCTCTAAATTCCCTGTGTCCTAATAACCCTCACCCCCTCGCCCCTTGTGCCCCCTTGCCACAGTCTCGGAGGAGCAGTGCCTGTACCAGATCTACATTGATGAACTGTATGGTGGCCTGCAGAGGCCAAGCGAGGATGAGAAGAAGAAGTGAGTTGGCTGGTTGGAAATGTGGCATAGTGGTAGAGTGCTTGCCTAGCATGCAGGAAGCCCTGGGTTCCATTCTGCTGCACCACATAAAAGGAAAAGGCTGGAAGTGGTGCTGTGCTTAAGTGGTAGAATGCTAGCCTTGAGCAAAAGCAGCTCAAGGACAGCGCCCAGGCCCTGAGTTCAAGCCCCAGGACTGACCAAAAAAAATGGGTTGGAGGCCGGCTGTGGCAGCCTGTGGGGGAGGAGGAGGAGGCAGGCAGGCCCAATGGGGATGGGAGCTGTGGCAGAGCCCCTCTAGATGCATTCCTCATAGCTGTGAAGTGGAGGCCCTGGCCCCGAGCTGAGCAGCTAGGGTGGAGTGGTCTGAGTCTGTAGGAGGCTCTTGGGAAGATGGGCATCGGGATCAGGAGCTGACCTGTGTCAGGGCCTGTGTGCGTGGTGGCCAGGGCATTCTAGAAAGCTGTGTCCCCCAGGGGTGACCGTGGTGACCTGGGTGTCAGCTTCGTGCACTCCTTCCTGTCGGCTCTGCTGGGCACTGGGTCACACTCCCAGAGGCGGCGTGGCACCGGCTGACAAATGAATTCAGCAAAGGCCCCCCAAAGCTCCTGGGAGCAGAGCTGGGCCCCATCTTTGCCCACTGTAACTTGGGACTCTGTGTTCGTGGGACTGGTACTCAAGCAGACAGACTGCATCCTGGCAGCAGTGACCAGTGTGGGCGGGGCCGGGAGCCCAGGACAGCGCAGAGCGGTGCTGGTGGGTGGGCAGGAGGGTCCCTCCCCTCCGAGGGCGCACCCACCCCAGCCAGCCCGCTCCCATCCCAGGCTGGCAGAGAAGAAGGCTTCCATCGGCTACACGTACGAGGACAGCACGGTGGCTGAGGTGGAGAAGGTGGCTGAGAAGCCGGAGGAGGAGGAGTCCCCGGCTGAGGAGGAGAGCAACTCGGATGAAGATGAGGTCATCCCCGACATCGGTGGGGTCCCCTCTCTGCCCTTCCCACCCACAGTCCCTGGGCATCGTTCTTGTGTCTCGACCCTCACCCTCTGTGGGGCACCCCACACTGAGGAGCCCGGTTCCTCCCCCTGTCCCACGGCCCAGGCCTTGGCCTCCTGCCTCCTCCCTGCCACACCCCCTTCTTCCCTTTCTGCCCTCTCCCCATTTCCAGGCCACTTGTCTGATTCTGGGTCCCACGCGGGTGTCACTTCTGCCTCTCCTTCCTGCTTTTCTCTATCCCCTGGGAAACAAGTCCCTTTTTCAGGGCCCCTGTCCCTTACACATCTGTTGGCCCATCCCGGTAGTACCTTGTTCCCCTCCCACCCTGTGCCCATTATGTAGATGCCTCCCGTCTCCATCCTCATCCTGGCGTGCACCCCACCCAATGCATCTGTTTGTGCCCACTAAGGCAGAGCCCTGTACTTCCATCTGTCCTTCCCACCCACATGTTCATGGTCCTCCTCCGTCCACCAACTGTCCACCCCATCTTCCCTTCCCCTCCCCACCACACAGCACACCCACTGTGTTGCTACCCAGAGCCGAGCCAGAGCTGCCCCAGACCCTCCTTGAACATTGCTTGGGCCGGCAGCTGTCTATCCCGCTTCTGGGCACTGCCCTGTCCCTCCTCCCCGTGGCCTTGGCCCCTGACAGCTTTTCTGTTGATGCAGACGTGGAGGTGGACGTGGATGAGCTGAACCAGGAACAGGTAGCGGATCTCAACAAACAAGCCACCACCTACGGCATGGCCGATGGCGACTTCGTCAGGTGAGATCTGCCCTGTGAACTCACCCTGGCTTTGTTCTGGCCATAACCCTGCTACTACCAATGCCAGCTTACTGCTGTGCCATGAATATCTGTGACCCCGCTAAAGACGATATTACATAGAATTACTCAGCCAGCCCTGTTCAGTGTGACCTAGGGCAAATGGACTCCCAGTGCTCCAGCACCCTCTAGTGGAGGGCTCCAGGTCCTTTCTTAGGCCCAAATTCTTTTGAAGATTGAGTCTTGTGGATCTTGTGGACTTTTCTGCCAGGGCTGGCTTCAAACTGTGATCCTCTGGATTTCAGCCTCCAGAATAGCTAGGATTACAGGTGTGAGCCATACACGCCCCCCCCATCCCCAGTTAGTGCTGAATTCTTAACACCTGTACACATAAGGTGTCTGAAAGTTGCATGAAATGTGTCTGGGTCCCATCTCCAGTGATTGATTTCCTCCCCTCTGCAGGATGCTTCGGAAAGACAAGGAGGAGGCGGAGGCCATCAAGCACGCCAAGGCCCTGGAGGAGGAGAAAGCCATGTATTCGGTGAGGTCTGGGGAAGGTGATGGGCAGAGATGGGGCTCATGGAGGGCACACTCCTAATGGGCTTGGCCTCCCTGCCCAGGGCCGTCGCTCCCGGCGCCAGCGGAGAGAGTTCCGGGAGAAGCGGCTGAGGGGGCGTAAGATCAGCCCGCCCAGGTAGGCCTCTCCCCAGGGCCTCCCGTGTCGCTGAGCCTTGGGAAAGTGGGCATGGGGCCAGGAAGGCACTATGGAGGCTGCTTTATACACGTGCTTTCACCCATTAAGTGGCCCGAGGTGATGGCTTACGGGGAACACTCCCTGAGGTGACTCTCAGACTGGGCACTGTCCCCTGCAGGAAGGGGACTGAGCCAGTTTCCCTGCTCTCCCTCCTCCCCCTCCAAGTATCAGTGGGGATCTGGGCAGAGCAACCTGGCTTTGGATAGAGTCTCATAGACCTGTGGTCCAGGGCAAACCCATGCATCTTTTTTTTTTTTTTTTTTTGCCACCTGTGCTAGAGGAGGTTTATGCTGTGGGCTTGGGGCAAAGCCCAGGCCCAAGCCACGCCATGTGCTCCTTCATTCAGCGGCCTAGCAAGTGAATTTGTCTCTTCAGGCCTGGCTCTCATCAAAGTGAGGGGGGTGGGGAGAGCCACTAGAAAGCACTTGGCCCACACAGCGTGGTCCTGTGTGGGCCTCAGTGAGCTGGCCGGGCAGGTGTGGGGTAGATGAGGGTCAGAGAGGGTCTGATAGGCAACAGAGGGACAGCTGTGCGCCCTCACCTGTCCCCCGTGCTTTCTCTCTAGCTACGCCCGCCGAGACAGCCCCACCTATGACCCCTATAAACGGTGAGTGGGTACCCCACTACACAAGTAGCACAAGGGAGGAGGGGGTCTGTGGGCTTGCAGGTGCTTAGTGTTTTCTTATGTCAACTTAACTATAATGCACCTTTTTTGTGTCATTGGGCAAGTGTGGCAGTAAGGGTCACTTAGAAACTTTAGAATTTTTAGTTCGTGAGAAGCTCATGTCCTGGGTGCAGTGGGCCCCACCAGGGGGAGGGCGCCCCCTGCCCCCAGGTCTTAGGAACTTGGGGTGGTGCAGGCTGGATCACACCCCTCCCCACACTACTTCTGGTGAACTGGGGTTCAGCTTGCTGTGGAGGGGTGATGCCCAGGCATTCGGCACCTTCCCCCTTTTTCTCCCCCCCCCCATCTGCCCTCTACCGGCTCCCTGGCACTCCAGCCACTCTGGGGTGGTCGACTCCCCGGCTTCCCTGAGCGGCCGTGCGTGGCCCTCGCTGACTGCCGCCTCCCGCAGGTCGCCCTCGGAATCCAGCTCTGAGTCCCGCTCGCGCTCGCGCTCCCCGAGCCCGGGGCGGGAGGAGAAGATCACCTTCATCACCAGCTTCGGGGGCAGCGATGAGGAGGCGGCCGCGGCGGCAGCCGCAGCTGCCGCATCTGGGGCCGTCCCCGGGAAGCCCC